AAAGCCAATTGTTATAAACAAACGGAGTTAGGAAAAAGGTAATGCGGCTAAACCGCTATTCACAATACAATATTCTATATAAGCAGTAATCGAACGAACTAAGATAGACAGGTGGCTCTATTACATTACGGTGCTACCAACTACGTCGAAATATAATCACTATAGTGTTGGGCATTAAACACAATGAGTTAAGATTAACCAGCAACAAGCAAATCAGATATAGAATGTTTGAAACAATTGTAATGTCCAACATGTTTATAAAGATAATACCAAATGAGTTTTACTTTTTAATTTAGTAGAATTTAAATAATAGTACTACATGTGTTTTTGAAGGTAGAATTTAACTTGGTATAACCAACTCAAAAGGAAAGGTGTAGAATATAGTACTTAATATCATACATGTACAGCAATATAATATCATACATGTATAGCAGAAATGATACGTTAATTTTGAAACTTTTTTTGTTAATAACTTTTTAACGGACAGCGACTGCCACCTAAAACCTGCGGGAGATTACTCAGGGTCATGACCTTGACAACACATGCCAAGGTCAAGGTCATCGGGGGTGACATCGGGGGGTCAAGGGGGGGGCTCCACTTTTTTGTAGTTTTACCACAGTTTTAAAATAAACGTATTATTTCTGCTATACATGTATGATATTTAGTACTCTTCTACATCTTTCCCTTTGTTCAGAAACGTTAAACTTTCCACGCGAGGTAACTGTCACCCCCCTTCCCCCGCTGTAAAGAGATACACGTCTTCCATGATTGTACTGTTGCGATAATTGTACTGTTGGGAAAGACCTCTATCGACGGAGCGGGTGCGGGAGGGGGGGGGGCGGGTTGTAGGTCCGCCCACATGCGTGCGTGCGTTCGTGCGTGTGTGTGTGTGAAACATCAAATAACGTCTTATTTTGTGACACATTCACACACACCCACACACACACACACACAACACAAATACTGTCATACCCCAGCATATTCTAAGAGCTCACTTTGCGCCGTTATGCCGACCTCTTCCATACACTTTAGAGGTATGCCAATTTTTGTCCGTCGGGTATTTTTTTGTCTTCAGAGATTGATATAACTTTCAGACTGAATACTGTAATATTTTTTTCATAATACGAATAATTATTTGAAAATTTGCTCTTAACAAATACATCCACTGTACACGTATGCCAATTGGTCTTACGTTGTCTCTAATACTGTAATAGTAAAGTAATATAAGTCTCCAATTGATTACTATGATGTCCAAAAAATCTATGATATGCTCCCGGACTATAACTGTAATTAACTTGCTAAGAAACATGGTGGCTTTCTGTGCCTTTACAAATCGCATTTCAACCGTGCATCGCTTTTTATTACGCGCACTTTGCGCCTTTGAGTTTTGCAACAACTATTAAGATTGCAAAAACCCTTCCATATTAAACACTTGTAAATGTTTTTTATGATATATAGAATTTGAATTATTTCAACTAAAATAATTTTTGAATTGTTTTATTACGATTAGCAGCTGTGATTTATTCACTCGTAAAATTTTACTGAAGAATCATTGGATTTAACTAGTGTGCCCGATAAATACACATAATATTCGAATAAATGAATAAAAATCAATATAAATGTCTATTCGAATACGCTTCTTTTTTATTCATAAAAAGAAACGAATAAATACTTTTTTATTCCACTTGATTAAATATTTTTTAAATACGATTACGAACATTTGTGTTTCTATATTTACTTTTCTACTCTGTATTGTTTCCCTCCTCCATTAATCCTCCATTAATGATGCCAGCTGGCAGATTAATGACATGATACGGCATAATAAATAGAAGATAAAAGTAATACGTTATTTCAAATAAAAACTATATGTTATCTCAAACCTTTATTTCAGATTTATGTAAAATTATATGTAATATCATTTATAAGCTTATAAATAAAAAAATGTATGAATTGTGTGTTACCATCCGTATAGTTAAGACATGTAATTTCAATTGTCATATAATTAATTTGTTCATCTGAGCGATATTGTATGTTAAAAATGCGTATATTAATTCGATGTTGATTGGTTTGTTTAATTTACTGGGGTTATTTACGGCTGATGAGGACTCTGTGAAGTCGAATTCCGTATATCAGTGTTAATATTATAATAAATTTGGTAATTATTTAGATTAGGGGACACCTCACCGATGACCTTTACCTTGACATATGTTGTAAAGGTCATGATTCTGAGTAACTTTGCCTTAACAACTAGGCGGCGAACTCTTATCATTTTTGAGATATTAAGCGTTGAAGTTATTTTTAACAGTAGTGAAACCGGTAAATCTTTAAATCAGGGGACTCTCCACAATTACCTTGACCTTGACATATGTTCTCAAGGATACGACCCTGAGTAACCTCTAACAGGTTTTAGCCGTCGCTCGTCCTTCGTTAAAAAGTTATTAACAATCATAGTTTTAAAATTAACATATGATATATGTATAATACATGTATGATATTAAGCACTATCCTACACCTTTCCCTGTTTAGAAACGTTAAACTTTCCACGCGAAGTAACTTTAACCCCCCCCCCCTCCTCTCTTCACAGGGGCACTCGACTTCTACGATTGTACTGTTGCTATGATAGTACTGTCGGGGCAGACCTCTGTCGACGGTGGCCTTCGGCCACCCCCTCGCACCCGCCCGTGTGTGTGTGTGTGTGTGTGTGTGTGTGTGTGTGTGTGTGTGTGTGTGTGTGAAAAAAAGTGTGTGTGTGTGTGTGTGTGTGCGCGTGTGTGTGTGCGTGCGTGTGCGTGTGTGTGTTTGTGTGTGCGTGTGTGTGTTTGTGTGTGTGTTTGTGTGTGTGTGCGTGTGCGTGTGCGTGTGTGTGTTCCACTCGTTATATAATGATTATGAGTCTATTACTTAATGTTTTACATACACACACACACACACACACGGGCGGGTGCAAGGGGGCGGCCTTCGGCCTCCGGCCACCCCCCTGCACCCACACCGTCGTCAGAGGTCTGCCCCGATAGTACTATCATAGCAACAGTACAATCGCAGAAGTCGTGTGCCCCTGTGCAGGGGGGGGAGGAAGTTACTTCGCTTGGAAAGTTCAACGTTTCTGAACAGGGAAAGGTGTAGACAGAGGTCTGCCCCGACAGTACTATCATAGCAACAGTACAATCATAGAAGTCGTGTGCCTCTATGCAGGGGTGGGAGGAGAGGTGGATAGAGGTCTGCCCCGACAGTACAATTATGATTATACTCATGTTCGCCCTTCATTTACGGGCTTACCATTGACATTATGAAGAAAATGCATAGTACCTTTTTTGTAGAGAATTTTATGTTCTTTATTTTTTGTTTGAAACATTTTCTCGTCTGTTGCATATTTTTTGAAATAAATGCAAAAAACTGGAAAAAATCACGTTTTTTGACAGTTTTTTCGAGATAGCGGCTTCAATGTGTCTGACCGCCAATTTTTATTATCATATTCGGAATCAGGAGGCAAAAATACGCCTAAATACACTAATATAATTTTTTTTTGCGAGAATGTGCCTTTTCCGAAGGTTTACCTAAAACTTTTCTAGTTTTGAAGCTTGAAATCTATTTTTGAAAGATTACTATATTTTTTGAGTTTGTGTAAGTTTTGTAATTTTAACATATAGAAAACTATAAGTTATAATAAAATGGAAAATCTTTTTCTCACTTTGTGAACCTGCTGTCATAATGTTACTATTATCATAATGTTGAAATTACTTGTGTTTATAATTTTTTAGGAAGTTCATTTGACAAATTTGTTGGTAGAAACGTGTGACAACTCTAAAGAAGATCAATCAGAAACTTTAGAAATAAACTCGCAAGCTTTTTCACGTCCAAACATAGTTGGATCATCTTATCAACAATCTTATATTTATATAACTACTACTGTAGTATTTATGCGTTATATGTCTGAATGTTTCAGCGCGCAATTATGGGGGGGCTACATATGTGGTATATAAGAATTTACTCATACTTATTATTAGCACTTTGATCCAGCTTTGACCGTTATAGGCGTTTAATTCCTTCATTGTTTGTAGACAATTTACGGTCGGTACAAAAATTAAATTAGTTAGTTTAACTCGCGCGGCCTGAAAAATGCGCTTTAATTACATATTTAAATATTAACAACATTACGAAGAATATCACTACGTCGACTAGCCAACAGAGGTCTATAGTTACTCATTCCAATTCTCGCAAGTGCCGAATTATATGAGTGATTGTTTATATAGAACTTCTTTCTAACATCTCCCCAAGGCGTCTAAGGTAGGTTTCCATTACATTGCCTTGCTGATGAGTCCAGTAGTGGAAACCGGGACGAAACGCCAACTTGTGATATTTTTCGTAATATAAAGAATAAGATTATTGAGATCCGATTTATTTACGAATTATAAAAAATTATCATCCTTATATTTAAATTAATCAAGTATTATTCGGTGATATTATAATACTACTGTAGTATTTATGCGTTATATGTCTGAATGTTTCAGCGCGCAATTATGGGGGGGCTACATATGTGGTATATAATATAAGAATTCACTCATACTTATTATTAGCACTTTGATCCAGCTTTGATCGTTATAGGTGTTTAATTCCTTCATTGTCTTATATTTATGTTAACGAAGAAAAAAGTTTTTGGGAAAAAAGACAGAATAGAAGATATAGTATATGTCCATGCGCTCAATCAAGTGTAGAAGACATTATGCTTATGTGTTTGACTATAGGACTAAGACATAATTTATCATGGTTGGCACAAATAGATATATTAAAAATGATAAACGCAATATATGGTGAGGAAAAAATTCCAACAACCAAGTACATGTACTTCAATTACATAGATCGATCAAATGACAATTTCAAATATCATATTTATTGTCCAGAATGTGAAAAATATTTAGGCAATCAAAAGGTCTTATCAAAAAATGTCAATTGCAGTTGTGGACATATTTTTGATCCTTCCTCAAATTTCTTTTTATCCATAGATTTGGAATCTCAATTGAAAAGACTTCTCAATGATGAAAGTATCGTTAATTCTCTTCTGTCATATAGATTTTGTTACGCAGATAATAATGGTACAGTCTTACATGATATTTATGATGGAGCAGAATATAGAAAACATTTTGATAATGGAAATATTTTATCAAATCCTTATAATTTCTCTTATTCATTTAATACAGATGGTGTTCCTACAGGTACATCTTCTGGTAAGACAATGTGGCCTATTTACATTACATTAAATGAACTATCACCAAAAGAAAGAACTGAACATGTTTTACTTGCTGGATTATATATTGGGACAAAAGATCCCAATCATCAGGAGACGCGGTAGCGTCTCCGGCCATGTTCAAAAAAACTGTGAACGCTACAAGTCTCTTATCCCGAGCCACCAAAGTCCATTTTTGGGAGGTGCATAACTATTAAAATATAAAAAATTTTGAATCGAACGTCATATGTCCTGAAAGGCGGAATCGCTACGAGTAATTTGAGCCAAAAAAATTTTAAATCGGTCAAGCCGTTCTGGAGATATAAGCGGTCAAAAAGTGGTGATTTTAATGAAAAATTAAGAAACGTCTCCTTCTCCTTCTTCTTCTTCTTCTTCTTCTTCTTCTCTGTCCGCATTTTTAAACTTTTCAACATCCTCTCTCACCTTTCACTTGCACCTCCACCATCTTTGGCCCACCGGACCTCCTCCACTCGCCCCTCCCCCTCCCCCCA